AGGTGGAATTAAAACCACATATTGAAGGTCAAAATAACAATGAAGATTACTAAACCAAATATCTGAGGGACTAGTACATCTACCCTGACTAGTTTCAAAACAAAGTTTAACAAAGGTTTCGTGTGATGACGAATAGTCTTGGAATTCACAAAAGTGGTTTAAACTTCCTAATCACACTTCGGTTCCCACAAACTTTAGAATGCAATCCAAACACGTTTTACAGATAGGTTTAAAGAATGTGCAAACGCCAGTTTTATGACCTGTCCCTATAATATGTTTCGAAATAGAGGAGCTGGGACCCCATTAATAACTTCTGAAGATTCTGTTGCTTCTGGAGGCATTTAGGAATATGATGCGTAGCCCTTACTTGCAAAAATCGATGAGCCTTCCCTAAATGGATATAGCAACCACTTCTAAACCTTACGTCCATAGCTTTAAGAGATGTCGGACACTACTTCTACGTGGTTTTAAAATAATTTGGTGAATTAACTTCGAACAAGCGCGAATGTGGCGTCAGGACAATGACAAAAATCGGAAGTTTATGAAACCAAACTCACTAGTAGGAAAAAGTGACGCACACGTCAGATGTCTTTACGTACCTGATCACGAGGATGGTATTGAAATCCACCAAATTACTAAAATGTTGCAGTGTGCATTTAACTCACTTAAAAACTTCGGCAGAAAACAGTGAATGTTATAAGTGATCGTAAAACATATTGCAATTTCTGCCCATTTGTGAACACTAATTTTCGCTTGTATCTATGCATTCTATTGACTTTCCTCTATCAAAACAACACACAGAAGTGCGGGAGGATGCAGGAATTCGATATCAACCATATTCTTTGGTTCCTGCAGCAGTAATAGGTACTGCACAATAGCTGATAGGGAAATTTGAGATCGAGTACAAGTTTCCGCCAATCTGCAAAGAAATTTATCGAATGACAGTCGTTGAAATGTACGCGAAGCTTACTCGGTATGCCAAAAATCACTGCATGAACCATGTATTTAAGCGTCCTGTCACACAAGCAATCAGCAAATGCTCAAGAACAATATCGAACAATAATTTTCATATAAATTCATCCAACAAGAGCAAAATAAGCAGCGAAATAGCGTCTACTACGTTTGCTGGACGACTAGCCACAACTCGAATCAACGAAACCGCGCAAATGCCGTCAAGGTTAAGCCAAAGGCGCCACTTCAAACAGGGGATATGCTTTATCGACGCCCTGGTATTATGATCTGTAATTTTAGCTTGACTGCGATACATTCACTTGGCGAACATCATGTCCATGCAGAAATTACAAAAGATTTAATAATACACATACGATTATGGTTTCAATATGAAGTCTCCAAGCCAAATGTACCAAAATAGGGGCATACACTTGTCACAGCTACATTCATACACCACTAAAGTGGAAAATCTACTAGTCCTTAGTGAACTTACTATGCAAATATTGTAAAGTAGTTCCTGTGTTTTAATTTTTTCTGTACTGAGAGGAGAAGCAAAGCATTCACAACCTTTTAGTTCATGTGGACCTACAATGTACTGGAACTAGATGAGCAATGGTATTTATACTAATAAAATGGGAAAAAAGTCTTCTCTGTCTTCCGAACAACTTATCCCTATTCCAACTAGAACAATAACATTTCTTCAAGTATGAACCTGAGATTTGTTTCTGAAATCGGAACCTTCCAGTAATATTGACTTTCCACAAAACAAAGGCGGTTAGAGAAACAAGTTTTTAGCCCTGCTACAAACTATTCATAAAGCTCATGCAGTGGTTCTTAAAATGAGAAACAGACCGTCCTAAGTAAGTGAAAATAAAATAATGCTGAAACTGCGCTGTAAATACGAACAACTACCAAATCTTATAAAAGAATGACCATCGAACAAAAAAAATATTCTTTTAGATAACTTCTTCATCAGGAGCCGCCATTAAGTATACTTAATGAATGAACTAGTGTTATTAACATTTAAATAACATCGAATCAATAACAACGCCAATGAATTACGGTTAGATAGCATCAACACAAAAATAAACCGAATGTCAGAATATTAGGAAACATATTAGTATGAATTTGCGAATTTATATTCTATACTGAAGACCAGGGCAGTAGTAGTGGCTGAACTTGCTTTTTTTGTACACATACATCAATTAAGTCGATAACATTTCATTGAATGGGCAAAATATACTAGCATGATTTCATGAAAATTAAAAAATATACGTTTAGATTTTAGACCTACTGGTTTATTTGATTCATTACATTGTTCATGCATACTTATCAAGAGACATTTTCCGATACAAGTGCGGGAAATGTAATGCCTATGATATTGTGTAAGTCAGAACATTTTTAATGTGAAATAACATTTGGGAAGCATACAAAAATATAAGTGGTCAGTAAATCACGATGACGATGATTTAGGAGGATACAGTTAGCGGGAATATACAACAAAGCTACTTGCCTCTAGTTAGCGCCTAGCAGTCATTTAACAAGATGTAATTTCAGTTGGTATTGGGCTCCAAAGAAGGCAACACTAAATAGTGGGAAAGTTTGTGGCAGCGGCTTGTCTGTGGGTAGCAACCTTTTGAAGGCAGTCGTAGTATCCCAATCATTATGGGCTTTTTATTTATCAATGTTATAGATGAGTTACCGTAGAGTTAAATAGTAGCTTTTCAAGATGAGCAAACTTACTTATCACCGATGGAATCGACCCAGCCAGCTTAAAGGAAGAGAAGCAGAGATCACCATCCATTTCGAAGACAAAAATATAAAAAGACAGCTTGCTGATTGTTCTTCTGCTGTATTTCATCACTAATATATTCTCTCCGTACCTGGCTTCTCAACCTTGGTCTGGTTCCACACTAGATCAGTTAAGAGTTATTTCAAATGGATAGCCATTCCATAACTTTTTTAAGCTTTTGTCACCACATTAACAAGTATTGAGCCACCCCTTGTTATTTGAAATATAAAGACGGTGCTGGCTGGACTTATTTATCACGTACTGTTGAATTCCGCTTGGAAATTTTTTTTGCCAATAATTTTTAATAAAATTGTGTTATATGTTATCTAGATTGAGGGAAATTCCCATTTTTTGTTGGTTATGTTGGTGTCCGCGTCATGTGATCTGACTGCGACACACTTTCAGCATATTGGTTGTAATGATTAGTGTTTCAGGCGGACTGTATCAAAATACCGGTGTAATAAGGAAGATAGGATAGTTAGAGCATGCCACATGTAGGCATAATGCTTAAGAGCTAGTTATGCAAATCAAGGTAAACGCTTGTACGGTACATTCATTATTTACAAAACTAACTCGTATGTAAGAGCTATGGTTTGGTCAGTTATACAACGTTTAATACATTTAGACACAACTAACCTACGATGCTTACTTCTATGACGCATTACCTAAAGCTACGTAGTTACCTTAAAGTGACTTCCGCTGAAGGTAACCTCCTATAGCTACTACCTTAGTGTGCAACTTAACGTTATCTTTGAATAACGTTCAAAGGTATCCACCCTATCACCTCAAACGATTCACTATTTGCAGTCATTTAATAAGTAAAAATAAATTTACCGATGGCAGCTCGCTTATGATTTCTAGATATCATAATGTACCATGAGGAAAACACTATATCCGCGTGGTTATAACAGTCAGATGCGCAAAATTAGTCCGAGACACAACAACCACGATTCTCAGTCATAGAACATCCTACTTCGCTACCTAATCGTATAATCGTATCAACGGATGTTTTGCCAAAGAAAAGAAGACTACTGGTTCAAGGAAAATTTATTTAGTTTTTTAAATCATGGAAATCCATGTTTACAGTCACGGAAAAATCACAACTTCGAGGAAACCACCGATCATAAATTACAACCCGAAACGTTATTCTTCTTAATTAATGTCTTACCTTGAACTGGGATAGTTCGTACACTCACCAGATCATCGTATTTTATCCGCTTTGCAGCACATCGAATGGATGTTAACACTGGCTCTATTACGGGCAGTCCTAGTTCATGTATTTGGATCTAGTACATTAAGCAATAATAAGCATAAGTAACACTAACCCTTAAGGGTTTAGTTTCTTTCAGTTCCCCAAAATACACACAAGCACAACAGAGTCATGCTTTTCATGCTGCTCAACCTTGTATGACTTAGATCCCCTTACAACATATGTCTTTCTAGATGATAGCAGACACACTGATGGTATATTCACATTCTCAAAAAGCTTCAAAGCTTCTTCAACTTAAACCCCGGTTCTTAATTCTCCAGGATTATGTTCTTTGAAAACCTTGCTAATATCAACTTTGATCGTACTGTGCTCACCAGACTTACTGGTAAATTGTTGCATGCTGTAGACATAAACGTGAAAGACATTAGTTTTCCAGATTTCTACATGTTAAATAACTAAATGAGCCAGCAACAAAACCTGCAATCAACAAATGGATTGGAAACAACTGCTTCTACCAGCCAAACATCTTCATATGCATGATTTCCAAAACTTCTACACAGTACCAACTCATTAGCAGCTGAAAACCAACTAAAACACTGAAAGCCGCATAAATGCAAGATATGAAACAATTACACCGAAATGAATGCACTGACCTGGTAGTGAAAACTTTCGAAATTAAAGAAATAATTCATTTTAACAGCAACGGAAACGAAAAATGAGGTGAAACGCAACATTTGTGAACAATACGCAACAAGATAAGCCGTGTATAACGACAGGATAAACGGAACAACAAACGTGTACACGAACAGCTACGGAACTGCAACCCAACATGGCCGACTAACTTGAACGAAAATAACCTTTAAGCGTCCCACTCCACCAATGACCTTGATAAGTTACGGATAATTTCAGTCACGGTACTCTGTTTCCCAGAGCGTGTTGTGGTTAGGGCGGTGCTTTCGACTGTTCAAGGTCAAATGGTTGGACAGTAGAGATGATTCTTTTGTGATAAAAGCTCCCACTATCAACTAGGATATTTAAAATCCCGCTATGAGTAATAACTCGGCGGTTCGCTGCAGTAAGCTGTGTAGTTGTAGATGGCAAACGAAGGTGGTTTGGTGTCTGCAGCTGTTGTGCTACTTCATATCTTATTTACCTGGAACGGATTCTTACTTCTGTATAATTGGAGGTTACCTACTCCCACCTCACTTCAGACTATGGACTCTGCTCACATTTTCATTTTACAACTACTCACTTACGTTTCTTATTCTGGATATGTTGACTGTGTATCTCATGGACAAGTTGTTGTCCAATCCGTATAATTGGGTTGAGTTACTTAGGTTTAGTGTTTTGGTTAATCTTTCATCAGCTATCTGCGTCACTACATTTTATCTATTAGTCTCTCTTGTTATTTTCGATAAGAATATTTTGTATTCATATTCCATTTGTGGCCTCATCGGACTCTTGGGTGGAGTCACTGTACTTGGTCGTCAGATGTTATCTGATAAGTTAGTTGTCGATTTCCCTCTTGGTAAGGTACGGTATAAGCACATACCATTTGTGTGCACTTTGTTTTTTGCTGTTTTGTTCGGTACTGGATTCTGTGGAGGTGTCCCCTTATCAATTTTTGTAACTGGAATCTTTATTGCTTGGATGTACTTACGCTTCTTTCAAAGACACAGTAATGGTCTACATGGGGATGTGAACGACAGTTTCACATTTGCTGGGTAAGTTCGTCCTTATGTATTTCTTATCATCCAGCTTCTTTCCAAACCACCTAGGACCACCCGTCTCTGTGATATCTAGCGCAGTATTCAACGTCCTAGTTCGTTTTCGTGTATGTAAACCTCCACCTCCGAAGAATCTATCTATTCCTCCTTCAGTCGTCTCATTTACAGTGGATATACACGACACTACTCATGCAGCCAGCAGGTATAGTTCATCATTTTCCATTATTCCTTTGCTGTTGATTATGGTCATACTAAGAAACATGTTATTAAAATATTAATTTAATTGAGGGACAATTACAGTTGTAACAGAAAGCTGTTTGGTTAAAAAGTACTGTTAGAGAATATATCAGTCTGTTTTTTCTTATCCCATTACATTCATCTGAAATTGTAACGATCGCAACTCAGACCTTTTCTCTATATCTATCTTTATTAATCCAACATAATGGTCTTCAAGATGTTAGGAAGCGTTTTAGAGTACCTTTTATAGTAGGTAGCAAAGTTGCCGAAATGGAGCTCTTCGAAGGTAGCAAATTTAGTGGCTTTTATCGACTCACTCGTCATACCAACCACTCCTGCCTTCGTAGAATTGTGTGCACTGAGTGCTATCAACGTACAAGTAATTCTAAAGTCTGACAGCATGCGACCGGACAAGGTGGAGATGCGTGTTTTGATCAATTGCGAACATGCCGAAATTCTCCCTTGTCTTTCACAAAGTAATATAAAGTAATAAACCATCCTCTGAATGTTCTTGATAAGTGTGTTTACCTGTTTTCTGATACCGTGGCTCATTTGTTCTGTTCCTATTTCCCATACATTGTTTTGCTATCTTCGTATATTTCATCTATCGGTGTCCATATTGCACCAAGCTTGAGTTTAAATAATACCTTTGTGGTGATTATTTGCCTGTTATATATATATATATATATATATATATATATATATATATATATATATATATATATGTATAATTGAGATAATCTTTCATATATCTTTGTCGTTAAACAAATTGTTTTTCTCTAAATTTGTGCAAACTATTGGAAACTTTGCAAACTACTTACATTGAAATTTCCAGTTGGTTCTGATATGAAATCCTTTATATGATCATTGTAGTATTTGAAGAAACCGTAAATAAATAGCTTATTCAGATTATTAACCGCCGTGGTTATTGACATAATGTTTGCATGTGTAGATATATTATCGTTACTTTTTCATTAATTTCTCCACTTATCTAAAATTACAATAGGTATCTTTCAACTCCAAGCATTGTAAACACTTGCAGCAGTCAGTCTGTACCAAAATCTGCTCTTACTCATTCACCTCCAAGTTTTCCAAGTGAATATACACGTTCCATACCAACTGGTGGTACTCCATTACCACCTATCCCACCTCCAATTTCTGTTTCAAATGAGGCTTTATCATCATGATACTGTATATCATTCCCTTGCACAATCAATTTGCATCCTGTGATATATAAACGTTTGCCCTTTTTTAGTTGGCTTTTGTATCCTTATTTACTTATCATTAATTCTCTAGTGAACAAATGAAGAGCACCCTTGTTATGTATGTAATGAATATATGTATGAGTCTTTTCTGTATAATCTCATATTTTATTCTGCGTGTGAATTTTTCATGGCTGTGAATTCTGCAATAAAGAATAAAAAAAATAAATTTACGTCGTCAAAGTCTTGTATTTTCTATCTGTCAACGTGTATAATCTCTAAGCATACTTCGGTATACAGTAATTGATTTATACGGGCTTTCGTTCTTCAGTTGTCGAATAAGTCTTTCTTCTGTTAAGCTTTTGAAAATTCGAATGTTATATTTTGCGCTAGAGATGTAGCTTGGTCTATTTTAGTAAGCTATGCATTATTACTGAGTTAATTTTACTCTCTAGAATACATCGTTTCTAATAAGTGAGTTCTTGAAAATGCTGAATTGAAAACATTGTTCACTTCTATGAGGTTTTATTATTAGTTTTCTTTTGAAGCAAAATTACCTAATAATTTGAAGCTGGGCTGTGAAGGTTAGATAATCTAAGGTCGTTTTGTCAATTAGAGTAGACGTATCTTCGGAAGATGAACCCATATGGTGAAATGCATTAATATTAGACAGAGTTCTTGAAAAGTCGTAAACTTTGTTCAATTATAAAAATATTCTATGTGTTAGGAAGAAATCTACAATGATTAAACAGTTCCGTCTTATTCCTTTGTGTCTCCGAAGCGCATACACCGATGTGAATCCAGACATTGATGATCGTAACAACCTCTTGCTGGCTCCGAAAGCTATTTAAATCGATATACTCTACTCTCTTATTTGACAAACTTCTTCTGAAACTTATTTAGTCACCTAATTACACGAACTTTTTTATCATGTCTCATAGTTCTTTTGCTAGAGTGAATGCACACTGTTACGAAGGTGACTGAGTCTTAGAACGATGAGTGATGCTTGAATCTTGAAAAGACAAACGAACCAAGAATTTAGGCGTTATTTATTTAACAATGAAGCCGGAATAGCTTAAACGTATAAAGGGGAAAAAGAGAGTTAATAGCGGTAGAGATATGAATATGATTAGATACGTATTATAAGAAAAGTTCACAACACACACCTTTAGATCTTGTTAATTACTTTGCGATTAGATGATACAAAGCACATACTATGTGGACACTGATTACGTTCAAGTTATATATCTTGTACATTGTTTCGTAGTAAGACGATGTGATGTGCACATTATTGGTGGGATAATCTCCCTGTAGTTAGAAGATCCATATCAACACCAGACTTACTCTTGAGAACTGTCTCTAGAATGTTTCCGAAGACTAAATTGAAAAATGATAATCAAGATTTGACTAACTGAGTTTCAGCTTAGAAATTAGCGCTGAAGTTCAACTCGCCACACTCTATAGCATACAAAGGTAGACAAAATGAAGGAAAACAAAATTCAAAGAAGTATTATAAACAGGAATATAAGCAGGAAAGAATAATAACACAGAAAAACATGAAGGTTCAGTGGATATGGGTGACCATATAGGTTGAGTGCATCTGCATCAGTGAAAAGGATACTTAATCGTATCACTAACAGCCAGTCTGCAGCCATTGGTTTTCATTGTGTTTTTCCGAACAAGCGAGAGGAAAATGTTCAAGGGTGTAAAAAAACATAGTCTGATGAGAGCTGTCTACAAGCCAAAATCGTAGACAAGAATTTACATCAATGTTCACGTCCCGAATCAGGGTCATGAGAAAGACTATAACCAAGCTTAACCTTGAGAAAATCACAGCGGAGTTAGAGTGTGGAAATATGATTCACAGATATATTAATTGGTTTTCTGAGAAACGACCACAGAGATGACAATAACTTTCAGCAAGAAAACAACCAATCAGTGGAGGTTGCTTTACCACTAATAATCATGCACATAAAAATCTATAAATACCTCTTGATTTCCTCAACAGATGATCTGTTGCCTGGCGCTTGTCTTCTGTCGTTACAATAGTACAACAATAGCTGTTACTGTTATCATAAGTTGTACAATTCGATTATAAGTGAAATGAATATTTTACGATTGATTATACGCAAACCTTGCACAGCTTATAAAACTGCAACGTTTGTCCGACTTTAATTAGTAAACTAATGTAGAAGTGAATAATGAACGTTGGAATATACGTATATATCCACCAAGCTGCCGGTGGCATTGTATTTATCTCGAATTGCAGAGATCGGAATTCATAAGCCTTTCAGTCGGTGACTGAATGGTCTATGAGCTTGCCTTGTAACCAGAAGGTCCTGGGTTCTAATTCCAGCGACTGCATACTAACGAAGAGTCCCAAACTAAGACTAAACAACTGTTCAGCACTCCGAGGTTTTCAAATGGCTTCTAAATGATATTGACTCGTGACCAGACCTGTAACCGATCAAATCCATGAGAAATAACACTTGTTTATATATATATATATATATATATATATATATATATATATATATATAGGTGGAGAAAGAGATCGTTGGAATAATTATTAATTTTCTACAGATGAATTAGTGTTAAAGCTCGAGCAGATTTAAAAAGTCAGTTTATTATATCCAATCAAACTATTTTTTTTCAATTTTTGATTATAGCTTGAAACCACGCGGTATTTTTGGTACAAGTATAGAATTTTCAGCATATGATATCGGTAGCCCAAATTTTACAGGCCGACCATAGATATCTAGTGTGCGTCGGCAGGGGATCGAACCCCGGACCATGCGCATGGTCGGTGAGAGTCCTAACCGCTGTGCTACCGACGCACAGTAGCATGGTTTTAGGTGGTAAAGTTGACGAGGACATTGGAATTCCTGGTATAGTTTATTCCCTTTTCAAAAGTTAATTATTAGAGATTTTTAGAACAGTTTACCAAGGCTAACCGTACCGTTTTCAGTTAATCTACTCTTTTTTCTAGCAGTTCATATTTCCAATGAAGTACTTCTAAGTATCGATGAACTGCACCTCTTATTTATAACCTACAACAAATAATGAAACCGAGTCACTTCTTTAGTATATTTTAAAGTTGTCTTCCTAAATTAGTGGTTCATTATGTCTTATGAATCACTGGTACATGTTGTACCTATTCATAATCACCAACTTACTTACGCTTATAAGTACTAAATAATGACTCTTTGAAACGGTTTGTCTTAAACTATTATAAAAGGTTCACTGAGTTTCATTTCAAGAAATTATAGGTAATTCGCTGAAGGTATAATGATTCTGTCTATGTCCAATTGTCTTTAATTTTTGTAGTTACCCATTGATGAAAAGTACCCTAACGATATGAAACAGCTTTTCATTCCATCTTAGTTCTTTGTGTTCATGTAGCTGAAAGTAACTTATAGAAGCAACTCGTATGATATTATCAATACAATATTGTTAACTGCAATACTATCAGCTGACCTTATTAGGGGCAACAAATTGTGCTAGAAAAATCGCTTAGTAAAATTTTTGATTTTTAAATATGCTTATATCCACACATTTAGTGCGTTTGTGAAATAAAAAGTCATATCAACTCGTCTGTTTGGTTGCTGATCTATGGCATAGAGTGATGTGATTAATTATTCTACTGGTTGTTTGCATTCAGCTAACGATGACTGATTAGACTTTTTGTTAATACTGTATGTCTGAATTTCGGTTATTATGATAATAAACAACTACTGTTAAAAATCACCTTGTCCAAAGGTTATCTAGCTTACATGGTGTAGGTAGTACTTAGTGAGAAAACTACTTCTTAATGCAATTACACAACAGTCCAAAGACTATATTTCACTGCTACTTATCTAGTATGGGATTAGACTCTGCTACAGTGTTCAAGTTTCGCACTTATAGATTTACAACTGCATGTATCAAAACAAGATTGTCGTGGAACAATACAATGATCCAATAAATTGAACTCAAACCAGTAATCCTTAAATGTACAATGAATGCAGACATTGTCTTCAACAATTCATATTACCGACAATTACATGTGATCAATGATAAACTTCATTTTAGCTGATTTCTTCCTTCCAAGACTTGAGAAGCGACTATTGAAAGATTAATACATATGTAAAACTCGATCATTTTGGTAGTATGTAATTCCATACTAATTTGTCTATTAGATACATCACACAGCGGATGACGTTTTGAACACAAATTATTATTCATAATCATATCAATTATAATCACACGACTTAGAGTTTTATAGTTTTCTTTATTCTCTCCTATTTGTAGTGGTGGTAGCAGGATTTTCCAGATGTTGAATCACACCTATTACCCGTATTTGCAGTTGATTCGATAAACAAAACTTCTGTTATCAACCTTCCCCTCCATCCTATTACATAAGATTTTGAAACTGTCATCTAATCCCATGCTACTGTATGGTTGTGTTTTGTGTAATTAGATGTAGTATTATGGCTGAACTATTCTCTAGATTTCTTATCTTATTCGAGTCAACTAATCTAGATTTTGCTAGGATTTTACGCTCTGCTAGTCTAAATGACCCTGTTCTACTACTTTCACCTATGTATTTGACCAGAGACATTGACATCACGGATGAAACCATTATTTACTAGGTTACGATTTAATCAGAACTTGTCAAATGAAATTTTGTTCCAGGTATTAGTCAGTAGTATTCCTAGAACGTGCACATCTCAAAGTTCTATTTGTCATTTTCCAGTAGCCGAATAATTGAGACTCAACCTAAAGATGAGGTATATAGTTTAGACACATCTATCTATGGGTATTTTTCAATTCAACTGCTCCTGCGAAGACAGTTATTTTGGGTGTACTATTAGACAACTTAGTCAGTGTGTCACTGAGTAACACTTGTGTTTTAATAACTCAGTTTATTTACTTCTCTTACAATTTAGCGTTACATAGTCTGACCGTTTGTTTTTCCTAGCCTTTATCTGTTATGTCTCTCAAGT